GAAGCAGCTCATTTCTACATAGGAAGCCGCTTGTAATGTTCTGTCTTTGCTAGACGGCGGAGGTGGTTTTTGGTGATGTCTCGACTGCAGTCTTTACCTCAGGTTTCAGTTTTCGCTTGGCTTGTAGCCAACTGAAGAGTTCAGACATACGTCAAGATGTCATGTTAACCCATGCTTGAGCTAGAAAACTATTTCTCTCATTGTCTGAGATTTAGGCCTACATCCAGCAAGAAACTGATTTCACTTCCATTTCTGTTGTGAAAATGATGTGCGGCTGGACGTAGCTCCACCTGCACATAGAATGTGTCAACAATGTGTGTTGTTTGTAATTTAAAGTTTTTTTTGGATTTGGTTATTACATTGATGAGACTTCTAGATCTACATGTACATAAGCACATAGGCCTCTATTCTGCATCTAGTTATTGTTTACATTTTATTGGAAGTAATCGGATAGTCTGACTCTGAAATTAACAGATATGGCTAACCAAATAGTTGAAAACTTTATATGATTAAATCGTACCTCGATCATCGTTGTCCATACAGATCTTTTCTAGACCTCAAGTAATATGACAATGGTAAGTTGGTAGTTAAATTATAAAATGATGGGCCTTCTAGATTCATGTTGGGGGTCGTCCATAAATGACGTCACACCCGTTGGGTGGAGGGGGGGTCTTTAATCTTGTGACGGTATGTGATGAGGGGGAGGGGGTGTGGCTCCGATGGTGTGACGTAACACTTTCGTATAATAAAAAAAACAATGTTAGAAAACAAATTTTCTCCGTTATTTCGCGTTTTTTTGGAAACTGTTTTAATAAACTGTAATAGGAATTGATTAAAATACCCTATGTTGACAGAGTTCAGACAAGATTTTGGAGAAAATATCGTATTTTAAGAAAAATTCAACTGCAAATTTGAAGGTGGGGAAGGGGAAGGCATGTAGGCTGTGGTGTGACGTCATTTTAGGAGAGGGGGGTCTGGCTTTTTGTGACCGTGTGTGACGAAGGGGCGGAGGGGGAGGTAAAAATCGTAAAAAAATGTGTGACGTCATTTATAGATGACCCCTCGTACTGTCATATGCCTCGATTCTAGAGCTAGATCCATTTCCTAGATTTAGATCTATTTTACTTTTACAAATTTAATTAAGCCTATTGTTTACATTTATTGCATGTGGTATCAATAGATTTGTCTAACAACCTTTAGTGACAAATTTACTTTATAATATTTATAATTAATATTAGATCTATCTAACTATACAGAGCCACCAAGTAGGCATATAGTAAACTATACACACATAAATAGGTCCTATATATGTAGATGGTTACAAAACATACCGTACCTCGATCCTCATCACGAATGTTCATATATATTGAGAGATCTAAATTATGGTATTAGTTGGTTATTTAATTGACGGGCCTTCTTCTAGATCTACATGTACTTAAAATAAGTACACAGGCTTTTTAAATTCTAGATTTAGATCTAGTTATTTACTGTCTGTGTCTCTCTTGGAAATACCGCTTCACAGGTTTTAAGCGAAATGTGCGCTTGGGTTACTTCCCCTTTCATGAACTCAAACTCACACACCGATCACAACACAGTCGCATTGTCTGTGTACTACAAGTTGTAGGCCCATTGTGCTACACGTCAAACATACACAAACAGCGTCACACCTTCTCACTGTGTGCTGATTGATGTGTCATGCCTAAAATTCTAGTAAACTTATCACCTGAAACCACAGGCAACTTCCTTTACAGTGATATAAATTACATAAAACATAAATAAGTGGTTCATCAACAATAATAACTATAAGATGCTTTACAGATTTGCTTTTTAGATTGTAGGCCTACTTTTTTTTTAAAATTTGGTTATTTTGTCATGTTCAGCACGTATAAATACGGGTTGATTTTGTTTAAAAAGGAAGGTACCTACTTGCAGTGGCGTAGCGAGGTCGGGTGTCACCCGGTGCGGCACTTAATGGTGTCACCCCCCACAGGCATAGCGACCCTTCCCGGGAACAAACTTTCAAATTTTCGATTTGCACCCCCCTCGAACTTTTGATGTGCACACCCCCCCCCCCCCCTCAAACTTCCGATTTGTACCCCCCTCCCTCAAACTTTCAATTTGACCCCCCCCCCTCATGTTTTTCTCTATATATTTTGCTATTTTTTGCCATGGTGTCACCCCCCCTAAATGGTGTCACCCGGTGCGGTCCGCACGCCCGCCCCCCCCCCCCTACGCCTCTGTATATTACCTCTAATCATATCAATCCAGCCTGTCTTCTCCTTCGCAATTACAGCATAGCTCCTCCAGAAGTAAATTCTATCTCCAGTTTTCAAAAATGTTTAAAAGTTAAGTTCCCTATTCGAACCTGACGGTCCCTGTGGCAAATGAAGTAGGGTTCACCTGTTTCTGTGACTTCGGGGTCAGTATTAGGCCCAACGGCCTTTCCTTTCCCTAACGAGAGTCAGGTACCCATAAGAGCTGGGTGTACTCAGGGACGTTCTACGTACTTGTAACTGGATTCGAGCTCGATACTTTCGGGTTAGCAGTCTAGAGCTCGGCTACCCTGTCCCTTCTAAAAATGCATAATTAACTTTAACTTCATATAGGCTATATGAATGTCTTAGAACTTTCTTGTTGGCCCAATTTTAAGCAATATCTGGCACTGCCGTATGGGGTTACCTTTTGAGAATAGTGTTAAAATGAATTACTCACATCTATATATCTGTTTGACTCATACACGCATACATCCAAATCGGAGGAGAAATGCACGCGGCCTTTCGTCACATCCACATTGTGCGACGCCCCTGATACCCTTTGCCGCATGGCCAGGGCCAGGATCTTCCTGTAGTTGGCCGGGTCCACCTCGGACTCGATGATCCGCGTGCTTTGGAAGTGGATCTTGTCCGGGGTCATTTGATTGGAGAGGTCAGATGCCAGCGTTGAGACCTGGGAGTGGGAGCTCGACTCGTCGTCTGCGGGCTCGGATTTCTGTTTCTGTCGCTCTCGGTTTTCACCTCGACTAAAAACGGTTTGGCCAATTTACCAGATTTGGATAGCCGCCTCTGGATGTTGCCTACGTTGTTCAAAGGGCGTTTGATGCTGTCGAATTCTAATAAATGTGGGAAGGGAAAATGGAAATATTGCATGCAGCTGGCGATATTGATGATTTGGTAAGTGTCAGCTATGTCTACTTGGCTGGATTTCCGTAACTGTCCGTCGCTTGCCGATCGTTGCAACACGCCATCCGGACGCGGGGTTTTATTCGACGACTTCACGGATATTTCGTTTTCTTTCGTTTGTAGAGTCTCGCTTGCAGAATTTTCAAGATTACGCATACCATTGTAACAAATGTTAGAGTAAGGACATAAGGCAAACGACAAGCACACACGTGAAGTCGACACATCCAACGAATACGTGTTAACTCGTTCAGCTGAGGGTTAATGCTAAAAATGTTCGCGCACCAGTAGTGTTTCTTCCAGACTTCTTTCTCCGAAGGGGGGGGGGGGGCACTTGAAAATTTTGTTGGGGGGGGTAGACTTTCTTCGGGGGGGGGGGGGACATTGTTAAAAGTATATATTTTCTATATAAATTATATAAATTTCATTTCGTTCGGGGGGGGGGGGGGGGGGGCGAAAAGTCTCGAGTTCGAATCCTCGGGCAGATGAGGCTCGTTAGCTGGGGACAGCCACTCTTCTAGCAGAGACAACTCCAAAATCAAACAACTGCTGCCTTGTAGTTTGTTCTTGGTTGAACAAAGGCTATGGAAGCAAATTCAAAAAGAAAAGCAGGCTGAAATCGTAGTCAATGACCTCAATGGCGCATAACCAGTTGACACGTAATCCTTAATTGTGATGGAGGCATGGTCGAGTCGGCAAAGCTCATGGTTGATAAATTCGAAAAAAGTCTTGAGTTCAAACCCTCTGGCAGATAAGGCTCGATCCCTCCCAACACTAAAAATTAAGAACGAAGATATATATATATATATATATATATATATATATATATATATATATATATATATATATATATATATATATATATATATCAACATTACCATCCAGCAGTATTTCTTCCCGGCATCTCTTCGGGGGGGGGGGGTCGGTCTGAGTCCCGTCCCTCCCCTCCCGAACGAGATGGATTTTATATAGTAAACATACATTTTTACAAGTGCCCCCCCCCCCCCCCCCGGAGAAAAAAAGTCTGGAAGAAACACTGCCGTCCAACACGCCCAGGGAGTGCTGTATAAAACCTTTGAGTGTATGTTAATCACTTTCCGTAATAGTGAGGCAGAACGCACTTCGGCGACCGCCCATGTGTCAGGAACGTAGAGCGGCGCTCTCGGGAGCCCCTGGTTAAATAACTGCAGGGGCACCGAGTACGATCCCTGGCTCTGTTAAATTTTTAAAATCGTCGAATGTCGTATGCCTCCGAGTCAATATTGTAGGTACTCTTTAAAACGAACGTAGGCGCCACATTGCTCACAGAATAGCCTAGGGCGTCCAATCGCACTCTACCGAGGCGCCGTGTGTGACGGAGGGGAGGTAAAAATCGTCAAAAAAGTGTGACATCATTTATGGATGACCCCTAATCTACCAATGAATATATCAATAAATTAATTAACGTCTTTAAATTAATTTGTGCTTAACAGTAAGTTAAAAAGAACATTGTTCTCTACCTAAATACTATTTTACAGCTCTACACATAGTGCAGATTCTCTCCTGTACTGTAACCAAACAGACAAACAAACAAAAATATACCAACATATAAACAAACTTGAGTTTTAGTATATATATATATATATATATATATATATATATATATATATATATAAACAGCAGATCCAACACTACAACAGATGTGTTTTTGTTCTCAGTCTTGTTGTTGAGAATCTAATACAATATAGTAGGTCTAATAAATTGGAATAAACACTTTTTGATTAATTAATAACTGAAAATATTTATTATGTCTTTTAAAAAGATAAATTAAAAATCCATTCAATTCACAAAGGCTAATAATCATAATAATAAATTGTATCTTCTGTCTTAAAACTTTAATCATTTTCAGCTACCTTAATTAATACATTTTGTTGCTCAATCCAATTATCATAATTATGATTAGCTTAATGGAATATATAATTATTTATACAAAATTTAGAATTACATAAAATGGAATATTCAATATAGAAAATGAGTAAATATTACTTCAATGATTCAAATAGTAATTGTGCATTTCAAATGTTGGTGTTAATTAGTGGTTGGTATTATTGTATGGGTAATGTAAAGGGTAAGAATTTAGGCATCATTTTTTCCCAAAAAAAAAAACCTGAACAAAGCTAGCCAAAACACCTAGTAAAAGATAATAAATGTGCTATGGTGATTCATGAAATCCATTCTTTCCTTGAAGTGTTTCTTTCTTTGTGTGAATATTTAAAAATTAATGTGTTAAATAATTTTTAATTAACTTTTTTAACCTTGTTTGAACATGAATTTCATGTTGACAACATAGCTGCACACAATTTAAAATCATTAGTTACAAATATTCATATTACTTATCTTCAAAATGAAATGTCTACATAACATTTTAAACATTATTAATTTGTATGACAAATAATACAATGAGGATTGTATCCTGTATGACAAAATTACAGGTGTGTTTTCTTCCTCCACAGAGTGGTATTAGTGCTAAAAGCAATAATGTTCTATATATATCCTTGTAAAAGAGAATTTTATGGCTTAAGTCCTGAGTGAAATTTTGTATGTGTAGATAAACTAGACTTATGAGCAAACTTTTTATGACACACATCACATTCATATGGTCTCTCTGGTAAATGAATATTTTTATGTATAGATAATGCAGATTTAAGGGCAAAACTTTTATGACAAACATCACATTCATGTGGCTTGAGACTAGAATGGATAGTTATTTTATGTCTAGATAAATGACTCTTCATAGCAAACTTTTTATGACATACATCACATTCATAAGGTCTGACTCCTGAATGAATCATTATATGATCTGATAAATGACCTTTATGATTAAATTTTTTATTACAAACATCACATTCATATGGTCTTTCTGGTAAATGAATATTTTTATGTGTAGATAAAATAGATTTAAGGGCGAAACTTTTATGACAAACATCACATTCATGTGGCTTGAGACTAGAATGAATATTTATTTTATGTATAGATAAATTACTCTTCCTAGCAAACTTTTTATGACATACATCACATTCATATAGTCTTTCTTCTGAATGAATCATTTTATGTTCTGATAAACAACTTTGATAACTAAATTTCTTGAGACACACATCACATTCATATGGTCTTTCTCCTGAATGAATCTTTTTATGTCTTGTTAACTCATATTTAAGACGATATTTTTTATGACACACATCACATTCATGTGGTTTTTCTCCTGAATGAATCATTTTATGTAATAAAAAATTGTCTTTACGACTTAATTTTTTGTGACACACATCACATTCAAATGATCTTTCTCCTAAATGAATCATTATATGGGATGATAAATTACCTTTCTGTGTAAATTTTTTATGACACACATCACATTCATACTGTCTTTCACCTGAATGAATCATTTTATGGTGTGTAAAGTGACCTTTCTGTGTAAATTTTTTATGACACACATCACATTCATAAGGTCTTTCTCCTGAATGAATCTTTTTATGTTTTGAAAAATAACGTTTATTACTAAAATTTTTGTGACACACATCACATTCATATGGTCTGTCTCCAGAATGTATCATTACATGTTGTGCTAAGTGATTTTTAAGACTATATTTTTTATGACACATATCACATTCATACTGTGGTTTTTCTCCTGAATGAATCATTTTATGTTTTAAAAAATGGCCTTTACGTCTTAATTTTTTGTGACACACCTCGCATTCATGTGGTTTTTCTCCTAAATGAATCATTAAATGGTCTGATAAATTACTTTTCCTATGAAATTTTCTATGACACACATCACATTCATAAGGTTTTTCTCCTGAATGAATCTTTTTATGTTTTGACAAAAAACCTTTATTATTAAAATTTTTGTGACACACATCACATTCATATGGTCTGTCTCCAGAATGTATCATTAGATGTTGTGCTAATTGATTTCTAAGACGATATTTTTTATGACACATATCACATTCATACTGTCTTTCTCCTGAATGAATCATTTTATGGTGTGTAAAGTGACCTTTCTGTGTAAATTTTTTATGACACACATCACATTCATGTGGTTTTTCTCCTGAATGAATCATTCTATGTTTTAAAAAATGGCCTTTACGACTTAATTTTTTGTGACACACATCACATTCAAATGGTTTTTCTCCTAAATGAATCATTGTATGGTCTGATAAATTACTTTTCCTATTAAATTTTTTATGACACATATCACATTCATACTGTCTTTCACCTGAATGAATCATTTTATGGTGTGTAAAGTGACCTTTCTGTATAAATTTTTTATGACACACATCACATTCATAAGGTCTTTCTCCTGAATGAATCTTTTTATGTTTTGAAAAATAACCTTTATTACTAAAATTTTTGTGACACACATCACATTCATATGGTCTGTCTCCAGAATGTATCATTAAATGTTGTGCTAAGTGATTTTTAAGACGGTATTTTTTATGACACATATCACATTCATACTGTCTTTCTCCTGAATGAATCATTTTATGATATGTAAAGTGACCTTTCTGTGTAAATTTTTTATGACACACATAACATTCATATGGCTTAATTCCAGAATGAATATTTGTGTGTGTGGATAAACTAGACTTTGTAGTTGTAGTTAACTTTTTAGACAAACTAGACTTATTGAATACCTGTTCTAGGTTCATTTTGTTAAACTGTTCAACATGACTGATCATAGCAACTTCTTGCTGATCAAAATCATGACCATATGGATTCACCCTTGTGTGAATGTTTATGTGTTGCTTAACATGATCAAAATGGAAAAATCTTTGAGAACACATATCACACTTGTATGTCTTCAGTCCCTGATCATTGATCTGATATTCTGTTGGGAGATTATCAATTAATTGTGTATGAAGTAACTTGAGTTCTTTTAATTCATTTTGAAGATCTGATTTTAAAACTGCGAAATTTTCATTACAATCAGTTGAATCTGGTGGGGAAGAAAGTTGTTGCTGCACTTTGAAACCATTTTGTTGCTCACTCTCCAAAGATGACATTGTTAATATCTCAGGTTTTATATCTTCAAAAATTGAAAATGCTGTTGATATATTTGGTTTCATGTCTTCAGAAGATGAAAATGATGTTGGGTTATCTTGTTTCGTTTCTTCTACATTGAAAAAGGGCTTTGTTTTTTCAAGATTTTGATCTTCTAAAGCTAAAACTTGCATTGTTTCCTCCAAGTATTTGTTTTTAACAGTTGAAAATTGTGTTGATTTTTGCTTTATATCTTCAGAATTTGAAAAGAGTGTATTTGTTTTTACTCCTTCTGAACTTGAAATAGCTGATATTTCATCTGATTTCATGTCCATAGATGTAATGATTTCATCACTGAATTCCTGTTTAACCATATATGAGCTCTCCCAAACTATACCATTAGTGTCCTTTGTGTTTTGCATAGCTTTAGATTGTTGAATTATTGCAAAAAATCTGAAATAAAAATAATCTTGATTAGAAAACCAAATTAAAAATACTCTTTGAAAATATATTGATTGCATTTATAAAAATGTTTAAATATTTATGTCTTAGCTTTATTATATAACACCATAGATTTTTTAATGTCATAAAAATATCAACATAGGCCTTCTTGAGTTGTGATAACATTTGTTTTAATCACTGAATTGTCTATTATCAGGTCAAAGATTTATGAAAAGATTTAAAGTTAAGAACAGTGTCGGGTCATCCATAAATGACGTCACACTTGTAGGGGGGAGGTTCAGATGGTGTGACGTCACACTTTTGCATTATAAAAAAGCAATGTTAGAAAACTAGTTTTAACTATTATTTCGCATTTTACAAAACAGCTTTCATAGATTATAATAGGAATTGATCAAAAGACTCTATGGTGAGGGGAGTGGGGTGGGATTGTAGACTGAGGTGTGACGTGACATCATTTAAGGAGGGGGGGGCTTGCTGGCTTTTTGTGATGATGCGTGACTGAGGAGAGGGGGGGGGGGGGGTAAAAATCGTCCAAAAAAGCATGACGTCATTTTTGGATGTCCCTTGTTGGGTGGCACAGTGCACATCTGTTAACCCATATCCCCAGAGTTTAAATGTCAGTAGGGAATCATATAATCATGTTATCTTTGTCTTTTGCCTTTATTAATCAAAGGTCGACTCATTTTTTAATAAGCCATTAATCAACTTTTTTAAACAATGCAAACCATCAAACTGAAACAAGCCTGCAAAACTATTAATGCAAATTAACATAAAATAACCTGTTTCATAATTAACCTTTCAAAATTTTCACATTTTTCCCCACTAAAGCCACTTGCTTCATTTTTTTTTTAGAATTTATATAGATCTAGATCTAAGAGACCTAAGACCCTTACACTTTTAGTTCAACCTTTATTAAATAGAAAAAAAATTCCTCTTCTCCTGATAAAGCTAAATTCATAAATTTAGCACCAATGGTGAGCTTAATGGCCACCCTAACGAACTCGTATGGTTTAGAGATAAAATAATCTAAAATTTTATTTTCATACATCTACCTAATTAAATATTTAATTATAATATTATATATTAATAGGCCTGTTATTTTATCATTTTTAAATTAATAAGCCTTGATGAGATTTTCGAGAAGGGCTACGAGTTGATAAAGAAGCATTAATATTAATTAATAATAATAATATAAATAAGTATATTTTGATTATTTTCGGATCTTTATTATAAAATATTGTATATCTATAAGTCTATTACCTACCTAAAAAATTATATTTACATATTTAAAGGTAGATTCTAATCTATCCATTTTAGTTTTAAGTACATAAAATTATTTTAAAATCGGCCAAAGCTTGTAATAGATCTAGTCATCATTTTCATTTAGTAATGTGACAGAAATCCTAGCCCTACCTAGATCTAGATCTAGTACCTACCATAGTCCATACGCCTACGCCCTGACCCTAATTTGAATTTCTAACCATCCCCATAGGCCTAATAAATCAAAATGTCATGAAATTAAATCTAGACAATAGACATATAGACTAGGATCTAGTTTTCTAGATCTAGATCTCTATAGTACTCTATTAAATATACTCCAGGCTATACCAACTTCTTTTTTTACTGTCAAGTGTAAAATTTCTAAAATATATAGATCTACTATATTTATTATTTAATGTTTCAAAGTTTCATTCATGTGGACTCAATGTTTTTAAATAATTGTATTTAAACTTTTCAGTAATAAATAAAGACTAGATCTAGCGATGTTTTCATCTGATGCAACCAAACTCATTTATTTTAGCAGCCATCTTGTTTAAATTTTTTGGCTAAATTATAGTCAGAGATTCAGGGGAACCCAATCTAATTTACAGATGGCCACTGTTTATATAGCAAATCTTGCTCGCAAACACTGCTGTTTAAAGTTAATTTCTGGCCTATTCTATATAATAGTTTCGCTGTCTGTCTATCTATCTGTGTATGTATCTATCTGACCCCCCCTACTCAAAAGAAATGTCATCATCGATACTCTATAATAAAATTACCGCCAAATTCATCTAAAAAGTGGTTTGCTTGCAGAGTTTCTTTCATGCATCTCTTTGGATAATTTTATTTGCCTCTGCAAAAATTCAAGTGCCAACCCCCAGAAAAAATTCTGAAAGAAACTCTGTCTGCGAGAGTGAGGTTTATCGGCCAAAAGTAGGAAACGATGTAACGAGTTTAAATTATAGAAGTAGGCTCTACCTTCAGTTTGTATGAATACGACCAGTGTTTCTTTCAGACTTTTTCCTGCCCGGAGACCGGAGAGGGGTGGAGGAACTTGAAATTTTCTAATCTAAAAAATGTTTTGCATGCAGTTTCTTTCATGCATCTCTTCCGGTAGGGGCAAAGCCCCTCCCAGGCTCTACCTTTAGCTTGTATGATCAACAAATGCTACCAGTGTTTCTTTCAGACTTTTTCCTCTGCGGAGAGGGGTGGGGGTGCTTGAAATTTTCTGGGGCGAGGTGGAAAAAGTATATAATATAATTATAATGATATATAAAATTATATATCGTTGAATGTGACGGTAGAGGTGCAAGTAAGTACTCTAACGTTCATAGATTAGTTAGTACTTAGTACTCTCTCAACACAAAGTTCGTCAAAGACAAATGAGATTAACTTTGAGCTAGACATCTAGATCTAGATTCTAGATCTATTTGGAATTGATGCTAGTTCGCTTCGAATGCAATTGCTGGATTTGAAAACGACTCATTTGTGGAGCGGAAAATTCACAGAACTCAAGAGTCAAGAGCAAGTAAAAATTTAAAATAGTTGGAGGTCCAGTAAAACATGCACGTTACGCTGCACAACTGGACAGCTGTAAAAGAAATATCGCGAGTTAAGGCACTCAATTCACTCATTCATACGTGACGCATGGAATAGTAATAGATTTGCAGGATGGTAGATCTAGATTCTAGATCTATTTGATCTAGAATTCTAGATCTAGATCTAGAATTATCTGGAGTTGACATAAGGAGTGCTGATGATCTTTAGGTCAACATATTCGTACTAGAATCTAGCTAGATCTAGCAAAAGTTCTTTTACATGAATCTAGATCTAGATCTAGATTCTAGATCTAGATTCTAGATCTAATAAAAAGTTAAGTAAAAAGCCAACTAACAACTAAAAATCTAGAGGCGTGCTTGAAACCTCCTAAAACAGGAAATTATGAGCCAGATTTTAACAAACTTTTAAACGGCATGCAAGGTCAATGCTCCCATTGATGTAAAGTAAATATTCAATGATTATATTTATAGTTATCTATCTATATACTACTAAAAGTCAAGTTTGTTTACATGTTTGAATATTTATTTTTTTGTTTTTTTGTTTGTTTGTTTGTTTGCCTGATCAAGTATCCTGATATGTTCGGCTCTATCTGGAGAGCTGTAAAATAGTATGTAGGTAGAGAATAATTTTTTAATGCAGACAGACTGTTAATCACAAATTTATTTAAAGACGTTAATTAATTTATTGATTTATTCATTGTTAAATTAACCGTATTTTTTAAAAAATGTTAATACTTTGAATAAACTTTGTGGGGATAGTGACGTCCCTTGATAGTGACGTCAGAGTTTTTTGTTGACTCTTTAGTACAATAAAAAGGTCGGCGTCTACCGAAGAAAATTGTGTTCCCATTCCAAAGTTTAACGCGTTCTAAATCTAATTTTCTGTCGGTCATAACTTTAACAATACGTCCGTTTGCTGTATTTATTACGTTCCAACACTTATATCAATTTTCAACTGTCTTTTTTCATTTAGTTTTACAATAAATTTCTCTAGATCTAAAGATCAGCTGTCGAAGGAAATTTATGAATCTAGCCTAGATCTAGATCACTAAACTCAATGTAAATTCTAAATCTAGACTTAATGTAAATTCTACATCTAGAATCTATTTCAGGCCTTAATACATCTAGAATCTATTTCAGGCCTTAATTATTTTATATAAATCTTTGTTTGGCTAATTTAAGATAAAATTTAATTTGAAAGTTACTACTTCTAGACTAGACGCTCGAAATCAAGTTGCATCAAAGTATAGTATAAAAATTCATTTGTGACGTCAGGAGTAAATAGCTAAGTTTGTAGCGTAGTCCGCTCTCATGCGAGTGTTACAGGTTCTAGACCAATATGCCAATGATATTTTTTTTCAATTTTTTTTTTTTTTTAGATGTTAATGATAAAAAATGATTTTTTTTTTCAATTTTTTTTTTTTAGATGTTAATGATAAAGTTGCCTATCTGAACTTGGCAGGATACAGGGCAGGTGAAGTAGAGTTCATCTGTTTCTTTGTCCTAACCATATGAAAGGATAGTGTGGTCAGAGACATGCTCGGCTGGAATCGTTTTTTAAACGATAAAAACATGTTGTCTGAGACTTGGCGGGACACTGGGCAGGTGAAGTAGAGTTGAGTAGGTCACATGTGACGTCAGTATATGAAGGGATAGTCCGAAATCGGTGTTTTCGGTGTTTTTAAAAGATAAGAAACATATTTTTGAATGTGGGCTCTGTTTTTGTGACGATAAGTGACACTGCAGTAGCGTAGCGAGGAGGGGGGGGGGGGGGGGGGGCGGGTGGGGAGGCGGGGGGGGGGGGGGGGGGAAGGGGAGGCGGGGGGGGGGGGAGGGGAGGCGGGGGGGGAGTGAAGGGGGGGGGGCGGGGGGACGTATGTTGGGGCGCCAAAATGGTTTGGAAAAATAAATTGAAAGGTTGAGGGGGGTTCAAATCGAAAGTTTGAGTGGGGGGGGGGGGGGAGGGGGTGCACATCAAAAGTTTGAGGGGGGGGGGGGTTGAAAATCGAAATCTTGGGGGGGGGGGGGTTAAAATCGAAAAGTTTGTCCCCGGGCGCCGGGAAGGCTCGCTATGCCTCTGAGTGACAGACGTGATGTTTTTTGATGGATGACCCCCGAAACCCACAGTTATCCAAGGGATGACGGGTATTCTAGTAGTTATTTATTATTCTAGCAGAGCTAGATCTAGCTAAAATACTATAATTTTTTTTGTGCGAAACATTTGTATTTTTTAAAAATATGAATAGATATTATTTCATATTTAAATTATATACATATATATATATATTCTATATATATATATATATATATATATATATATATATATATATATATATATATATATATATATATATATATATATATATATATATATATATACCTAATCCTAAATATTGAAAAAAAATGTTAGTGGCTCTTTAAAAACTGGTAAATTTTGTAAATTGTATATTTTGGCTCTTCCGTCTCAAAAGGTTGCCGACCACTGCATTAGTCTGTTTTGAATTATTTATTTCTTTACATTTATTATCAGTTTATTCAATATGTTTGTTGTAATACACTCTCTCTTAATCAGAGTTTCTTCCAAGCATCTCTTCGGGGGGGCTAAGCCCCCCCCCCCCGAAAAATTTTTACCGCCCCCCCCCCCCCCCCCCCCCGAACGAAATGAAATTTATATAATTTATATAGAAAATATATATTCTTTTAACAGTGTCCGCCCCCCCCCCCCCCCCCGAAGAAAGTTTACCGCCCCCCCCCCCCGAAAATTTCAAGTGCCCCCCCGGAGAAAAAAGTCTGGAGAAACACTGCTCTTAATCCTCATCACTCCCTGTGGAGTATAGGGCAACAACAAATCTCCGCCATTCCACCCTGTCCTGGGCGAGCCACTTTAGTTCATGATAGGTTTTGCCAGTAGCCTGTACTTCTTCTTCCATCTCCCTCCTCCATTTGTTGTAGTACTGCATACCCTATATTCGTTAGCAGGTCAAAAGAATATAAAGCGTGAAATTTTCCTTTTTAAACTATGTCAATCTTTAGTATGTATTTTTTTAAAAATAATAATTAAGAGAAGTAATTGCTTTTTTTTTTAATTTGATTAGTACAAATATATTAAAAGGAGCTTATGAGCACCCCTATTTGACTACTTAAAAAAGGGAAATAAGTCATGAAGTGTTTGAAAGTTTGCCTATCGTTCATACATACAGCTCAGACATATGTATTTTTTTACGCAACAGAATGTGTTAACTACTGTATATCATCACTACTGTAGTAGATCTGTTTATTTACAAAAGCTGTTACCGTCAAGTAAAAAAAAATGCATGAAAATTATTTTTTTTAACTATAAATTTTTTTTATTATGGTCGGCTATGGGCCCCTAAATGGCGTGCCCCCCCCCCCCCTGCATTGTGGATTCTGGCGGCACTGTAGTTCCGCCCCTGTATTACATGGCCCTTAGCGGCCCACGTGAGCCTCTAGGGGCCGAAACTGAAATTTTTGTTTGCAGCCAGATCGCACCTTTACCGGGGCGGCGGAGGACAAGCCTGATTCAATTTAGTGAGCGTTTGTAACGCCCCATCCTATCACATCACACTGTCTATCACACCGTTTAGACGGTGGCGTAGCGAGGTCGGGTGTCCCCCGGTGCGGCACTTAATGGTGTCACCCCCAGAGGCGTAGCAACCCTTTTAAATTTTCGATTTGCACCCCCCCCCCCCCGCTCAAACTTTCGATTTGCACCCCACCCCTCAAACTTTTGATTTGCACCCCCCCCCCTCAAGTTTTTCTCTATATATTTTGCTATTTTTTTGCCTTGGTGTCACCCCCCCCTAGATGGTGTCTCCCGGTGCGGTCCGCACCCCCGCCCCCCCCCCTCGCTACGCCTCTGCCTACTTGGCAGTGGGCACTAAGACAGTCACGTAAACCCATTGTTCGTTCCCTTTGCCTACGATAAATCTATTTGGGCCTTGTTGTAACTTATCTTTTTTTGTGTTTAAAAGGTCTCTCTCGAAACTTAATTTAAAATTTTCCGAGCCGAATAGCTGGAGATCACGTGTTGTGAGTGGTAGATCTAAAAGATACCTAGTAATTGGCTCAATTATAACGTTATTTGATTTGGTTTAGCCTAGATCTAGATTCTAGTAGATCTATATTTTAAGTGGGCGTGATTAATGATATTTTCATTTTTCGGTATATAGTAAGACCGATATCCTACGGTGTATTTTTCTTTTGTAACTTAGGCCTAGATCTAGATTAGATCTAGATCTAGTTCTAGATCTAGATCTAGATCTATTGTAGATCTATAGTAATAGGCCTAGGCATAATAAATTACTAGATCTACCTAATTATTAACATAACGGATCCGTTAAGCCTAATAATCGGGCTAGATCTAGGTGACACTAGGTCAGTTGTAGGACTAGATCTAGATCTAGACTCTAGTAAATCTAGTTGTTTGTAAGCACTAGCTTATAGTATTAAGTATAAGCTAGTGCTAGACTACTGTTTTTTTTACTGTTACTGTAACTGAGTGTAGTGTAGAGTGTAGACTACTGTACTGTAGACTAAGTTAAGTAAGACTGATTACTAAAGTTAAAGTAACTACTAGATTTACTAACTAACTACATACTAGATCTACATAGATCTAGTGAGACTTGTGGTAGGTTACAGTAAAACCGTTTACAGTGTTGAGTGTGTAACTAACTCTGTAAGTCTGTAAGACGAGTACTAGATCTAGGTGGTAAGACTGTTAGTCTGTTACAGTGTTAGTGTAGTAACGGGTAACGTGAGTGCTATGTCTAGACTCTAGAACAGAAGGCCTGCCTCCTAAGAGCAAGACCCTAAGACCTAAGAAGTAGCAACTAACTTAGCCTAAATATTAAATAGTTAGTAAGTAGGCCTATGTCATTCATACTCTCTCATTATGAATGACATGAGATGAGCATGGAAATTATTATTTTTTACTGGCACATTAAGAAAAGTAGATTATTCAGTTTGATAGGGTAACATTTTTTTTAAAATATTAAGTCTTATAGACTCTAGATCTAGATGTTCTAGATAGTACAATTTTAAATCAAAATTGACAACCATAAATTTAAAATTATAAATGGGACAAAATAACAAATTCTCCAATCCAAAAAATTATTATATAGCCTAGGCCTATATTATATAGGGGCTTAGTATTAGGTAGGCCTAGACTATATTTCAAATTTTATACTTAAAACTTAACCTAATTTAATGCCAAAATGAAAAAAAAAATGATTTATCTCATTTGCTGACAGCCTGCTGATTATGTGAAAATGGGGAGGCGCTACTACTGCGATTACTGTGATAAATCATTTGCTGATAATCCAACGAGTCGTAAGGTCCACCTGACTGGCAACGCTCACCTTCAGAACAGGAAAGCACATTATGATGCCTTTAGGGATGAAGAAGAAATACTGCAGGATGATAAAACTAAAAAACCATGTCGGGCATTTCTATCTACTGGTAACCTATCTAATATCTGTTAATGGTTGTTTTTAGTTAGATAGCTTGATCATTAATTTAGCATTTGGATTAAGTGCTAACTATTGAATAAACACTCATCATTTATTTAATCCCATGATTATGTTCAGTTCAGTTCATGGACTGGAATCCTTACGATACTCATGGGTACACCCAACTCTGATTGGTACCTGACTCACATTTTAGGGGAAGTAAAGGCAGCATTGCATAGAACTGACCACACTATCCCTACAAATGCATAGGTCACAAAAACAGGTGAACTCTATCTGCGCTACTGACAGGTCCAAATGGGTAACTTTTAATTTAAACCACTTAGATTGGTTTCATAATTTTAAAAATTTTGTTTGTAGAATTTTTATGTTTCACAATAATGTTTTAAGTGTTTTGTAAATCATTGTGAAAATTGTTTACATTTATTGAGACTAAAGCTGTATTTGAAAAAGATTTCTACTTAAATGTTGGCAGGTGACTGTAAGTTTGGAGACCGCTGTCAGTTTTCTCATCTGAGCCATGAGGACAGGAACAGGCTGGCTGAGATTGTACGCATGAAGCAGCTTGGAGCAGCAACAGGGAAGACAAACACTGAAGACAATGTTAAAAACTTACTCATGGAGTGGGTAGACAAAAGGAGCAAAAAACTGAAATTAGACAATGTCGACAACAGCACAGGTAACAGTGCTGACACTAGTAAAACTCTGAGACCAACTGACTGTTTAGTGGCTGTACCAGAATACACACTGGCTAGTTGTTTGGTGGCCTTCCCCAGTCTACCCCCTTCTCTCTTGCCTCCGTCCAAGGAAGAAATTTTAAAGTGTGATTATGTGTCATGGGGATGACTGGAGTGATTTACATATATATGTGACTATGTGTAAGTTTATGTAAGACTTGAATGAGAGGGATTGTCTTAACACAATATTTTAATGACATCTAAGGGATGTGGCTGATGTAAGATGTGTGAGTATCAGGAAATTTGGCTGATGTTTAAATTTCTCAGGTGTGAATATGTAACATAATGTTAAGAGCAACATTTGACTTTGTTTTAAAAAACAATATAGCAGCACACAAGAACAATGCTCAAATATGGATGTTGATAACAATATTACTGGTTTTTTTTTAATCAGACTATTAGAATTACAAAATTTGAAACCCTTCATTTATTTCTGTTATTATAGTATATTATTATTAGTATGTATCGTTTGATGTGGTGCGTGCCATTTACTTTAAAATATATGCACATGTATAATAGATTGTACATGTGTTTTTCTCTTTAAAAGTTGTGAAGTTGTGTACATAAAAGCATTAAAATATTTTTAAAACTTGATACATTTTACAATTAGTAAAACTTAATACGTAAAATTTTTCCCTTGTACTTCTTATATTCAAGAGGTTTTATATCAACCATTCCACACAACCAAGAATAAAAAACACTGATCAAATGGGGCTCATTTATAGTTATTTCACATAAATCCAAGAAAAATAACCAAATTAAGGTGCATTTTAACTTTTTTCTTTTTAATAGTAAATACAACTATGCATTAAAAGAAGAAAAACGATTGTCTTTAACTTTCATGTCATGTTTGCCTGTCGTCCCTACTGGGACATAGGCCGCTGACAAGAGCTTTCCAGACGTCTCTGTCCAGGGCTAGTCTCTCCAACTGTCCCCAGGTGTATCCAATCTTCTTGGTGTCTTCTTCCAGGTCACGTCTCCAGGTCTTTCTTGGTCTGCCTCTCTTCCTCCTGCCTTGTGGATTCCAGGTGAGGGCCTGTCTTGTTATGCTGGATACAGGCTTCCTGGGTGTGTGGCCAATCCATTTCCATTTTCTCTGGAGGATCTCTACTTCCACTGGCAGTTGATTTGTCCGTTGCCATAGAACATCATTTCTGATGGTTTTAGGCCAGCGAATTCGCAGGATCTTTCTGAGACATGCGTTTATAAATGATTGTATTTTCTTCTTATTTATAGCAGTTATTCTCCATGTCTCGGCTCCATAGAGTAAAACAGGTTTTACTAGTGTGTTGAAGATCCGGATTTTTATTCTCTAAGGGTTAAATCTCCCGAACCCTAAACATTTTTTAGTTGGTTGAAGACTGCTCTTGCCTTACCCATCCTTATTTTTATGTCTACTTCTGTCCCACCCTGCTTATCAACAATACTTCCAAGGTAGGTGAATCTATCCACTTCTTCTAGGGCTTCTTCTGCCAGTGTTATAGGGTTGTTGTTTGATGTATTGACTTTGAGAACTTTACTTTTCCCTCTGTGGATGTTCAGACCCAGGCTTGTAGAAAAATTTGCAACCCTGTTGGTTTTATCCTGCATTTGCTGTTGTGTGTGAGAAAGGAGGGCCAGGTCGTCAGCAAAGTCCAGGTCATCCAGCTGGCTCCACAATGTCCACTGTATACCGTTTCGCGTTTTCTCTGTTGACATCTTCATAACCCAGTCTATGGCCAGTAGGAACAGGAATGGTGAAAGTAGGCAACCCTGCCTTACTCCGGTCCGTACTGGGAAGGCCTCTGTAGTCTGTTGGCCATGCACTACTCTACATTTGAGACCTTCATATGAAGACATAATAATGTTGACTATTTTCTGTGGCACCCCGTAGTGTCTCAACAATTTCCACATTGACTGCCTATCCAGGCTATCAAAGGCCTTCTCATAGTCTATGATATTAATATAGAGAGATGAGTTCCACTCTTGGGTCTGTTCAATGATGATGCGCAGGGTAGCAATTTGGTCTATGCGTGACCTTTTCTTCCTAAAGCCCGCCTGTTGATCTTGAAGCTGGGGATCTATGGCTTCCTTCATTCTGTTTAATAATATTCTGTTGAACTTTAATGCACTTTAATTTGAAAGTTATAATAACTAATAAAGTCGCTTATTAAACTTTAGAAAAGGTATTCAATATTTAATAATAATGTGTGTATAATAATAATAGCATTGTAAACAAGTACATCAAGAACAGCAATCCACACAAGTTATACACATTAAGAACAGTTCAGCTCTCCACACAACTTGTGTACATCAAAAACAACTTATGCACATTAAGAACAGACCAATACAAGTATACACTAAGTTAGGGGTCACCCATTTATGACGTCCACGAGAGGGGGGGGGGTCCGAAAAAAATCGACTTTTGTGGGCTGGGGGAGGGTTTGGGTCAGTGTGGACGTCCACACGCGGAATTAAATCACAAAATACTTACATTTGATCATTTTAAAAATCCATATAAAATGTAAATTATACATTATATCTGCAGTTCTCCAGGTAAATGTATCAGTAATGTAGCTGTTTACCACCCGCCTAAGACAAAAGCGATTTTTTTTACAAGGGGGAGGGGATGGGGCAGTGATCGCGCCAAATTTCTAAATTAAAAATAAACTTGAAATACCATGAATTAAACATTTCAAACAATTGTAACTAAAGCATAGTTAGTAGGCCTACATCATTATTTTGTGTCAAAGCGTAAGATGATGTAGATCTAGTCATTTTTAGCGCAATTTCCATACTGGCAATTGCGTTTAAATAATGCGTCATTTCTGGATGTGTGTCCGCAGCTTTAAGTCGTATCTCCTCCTCAACGAAGCAATATCGAGGACTAGTTCCAAAAGCAAATATGTTAAGCAAGTTCCAAGGATGATTGTGGGCCAAAAAATTCCCGGAATTCCTTCCTGGATTTCCCGGAAAAGCCAAAAACCCTCGAAAAAATGCTGTTTTTGGCCCATATCTCGGCAACCAGACCACTTAGCGACTTGACATTTACCAATCGATTCCTGCCATAATTTAGAACAATATTGCCGAAGAAAGTTTTCAAAAATATCCTTTCGTTCGGTCACAAAAAATTAATTTCTTCTAATTTGTATTGGCTAAGATTACTAAGAATATACAAATATTTCTACCACCCTCATCCCTTCGCGTCTCACCACTAGAAGAAGCGAAGCGGTGAAGTTCCAAACCAAGCACACCGGCTGAGGCAGTCGCTAGTGAGAGGTAACGTCTACTTGTTTAAACTGAGCATCTTGTAGGCCTACTCGTTAAAATAAAACTATTTCCGTAGATATAGGTTAATATAGTTGTCTTTTTTTTAGCGCAATTTTTTACTTATTAATTCAAACGTTAATAAATGTTTTTTTCTATTTTGTTTTGAATTATTAAAACTACTTGTGTTGCATTATTTATTTGCTGAATACATGATTTATCTCGATTTAAAATTGTTATGGATAACAACATAAGGAAATTGCGCTTAAATTGTCGCTAGACTTTTTATTAACATGTTTTTCAAGTAAAATACCCAAAACAACCACGTTACAATTAGATATTTAAATATCAGCGCGTGTATAATGTGCTCCCTTGGTCAGGTGTGTAGGGCTAACGATCAACGCGACCTTAAAAAAAGGGGAGAGGGGGTTGTTATGGAATCACATGCAGCTTAAAGTTAAGTAAAAGTAATATAATGACGTCACGCTGATTAGCAGAATTTACCCGAACCCATATAGTCGTTGATAGCTAGACAGCCAAAAATGACAGTAAAAAGTTCGGTATACAGCATCTTCAATTTAAAAAAAAGATAGATCTACATGACTGCCTGCAATCTCTGACTCTTTATAACAGATAGTGGGTTAAAAAAACCTTTAAAGTCGAGAGGCAGGGTACATAGAGTCCATGCGCGATCACTCTTTCTTAGCACATAAACACAGTAAGTTAACAAGCCGTAGGCCGTAGACTTACGGACATCTTGGAAAAGTTTAACTCCCAATTATTTAAGCCTAGTATTAGTAATAGATGTTGCCGAAAATATCAAATCCCTATATTACATTATTAGTTAATGTACCCATTGCATGTAAATGAATTAGTAATTTTGCAGCATGTATTGAGAGGCTTGGACGTCCACAAGGGGGGGGGGGGTGTTTGTCGAAAGTGGACGGGGGAGGGGGGTCTATAATCCCAAATTTTTGTGGACGTCGTAAATGGATAACCCATTTTGTAACCTATTTTTTTTTATTAGTAATAACCTCTCATCAGAAGATAAGAGAACAAATTATTAAAAAAACTTTAGGCTATAGCAACTATAATAGATTGACGACAGAAGCCTGTGGTTGTATATAACGCATTTATTTGGGTCTAACTACCACGATGGTAACACACCGAGAGGACGGAAGGAAGTGCACAAGGGACATCACTCAAGATAACAATATTATAAATATAACTAATACAGAAGAGTGAGTTCCCTTGACCTCACAATTATCTCAATCTATTACATCCCTTTACCCTTAGAACACAATAACACATCTCTCAATAGAACAATTGATAGTATCCTAAAATCACCAATTATATTGTAACATGAACACTATGGTAGATTACATCCTTACAAACAATGCACAATATGCCACAACATAATCAAAATACAAAACAATAATGTCAAAGTCCTTTTGACCTTTAGAATCATAGGTCTAACTTATTTGGGACTTTGATTGTCCTGCTTGACCTTCTCAGTGGCTTCTGATTTGGTGACTCAAGATTCTGACCATCTGGATTCTCTATCTCAGGAGGTCTAGGATTTAAATCATTAACTCCAGAATTTACATTTTCTGACTCTAGACAACTTGATTCACTCATATCAACAGAACTTGGTTGTGGAACAAACTGAGTTGGTGTGAACTGTTCAGATTTGGTGGGATTGATAGATTCACCCTTATTATCTGCACAAGTTATTTTTAACTGGTCTGCATGTCTACGGACAATAAGTCCATCATTTGTTTTTACTTTATAAGACACAGGTCCTGTACATTGAACAATTTGACCTGGAATCCATTTTTCCTTTCTCCCATAATTTCTTAGATACACATTATCATTAACTGCAAATTCTCTTTCGATGGATGATTTGTCATGATTTACTTTTTGTGTATGTTGATGTTGGGAAACAGACCTTTGAACAGTTGGATGTAGTAGGTCAAGATGAGTTTTAATTTTCCTACCACATAGCAATTCACATGGTGCAACACCTGTTGTTATATGAGGAGTTGTGCGGTATTTGGTTAAGAACCTGTTTACTCTTTCTCTAAGAGAAAACTTGTTACCGGTATTCATTTTTACCATAGCGGTTTTGAATATGCCTACCGCTCTTTCAGCTAAACCATTCCCGGCAGGATGATAGGGGGATGTGGTTATATGCTCAATACCATTTGCCACACAAAACAGTTTAAACTCATGAGCTGTGAAACTAGGCCCATTATCTGAAACAATTTGATCTGGTAATCCATGAGTTGAAAATATTTCCTTAAGCTCTATAATGGTATCATTTGCAGTGATTGTGTTCATGATTTTAACTTCTAACCATTTAGAATGTGAATCAATAACAATTAAGAACATTTTGTTCATGAAAGGTCCTGCGAAATCTATATGTATACGTCTCCATGGTTCAATTGGCCAGTCCCAG